TGCCACTATTACTACTACTATTGCTACCACTACTACTATTACTACCACTACTACCACCACTAATATTTATAATACTAATAATAGTAATAAAATGCAAAAAATATTAATCGTTTCCATTACGAGTTGAAGGGATTTTTTCACGCGAGTCACTGAATCTGTGTAATAACAATAGTAACAGAAACCCTTCTACTTCTACCACTATGAATGGTGATAAAATAAAAATGAGTAATAGAAATGGTGGTAGTGATTTTCGCCATGGAGGGTGCGGTGGGTAGGCGCGTGAGCGTCACGCAGTAGGAGGGGGGGAGCGGCCTTGGAACTGACCTCGCCCTTGCGGCCTTCATCGACCAGGCGCTGCGCGGCGCGGCGCCGCCCGCACTCGCACTCGGGTCACGCGGGGCGGAGGGTTGGGGAGGGGGAGGAGGAGGCTCCGGCCTGGCGCCCAGGCTGCTGCGGGGCCCGGATCGCGCTGTTCTTGCTTGGAGCGGCTTGGCACTTAACACTGTGCGTTCTCTGGAGGCAGAGAGAGAGAGAGAGAGAGAGAGAGAGAGGGAGGGGGGAAAAGGAGAGGGAAAGTAAGTGGCAGAGAGAGAAAGGTAGTGGCAGAGAGAGGAAGTTAGTGGGGGAGAGATAGAAAGTAAGAGGGGGAGAGATAGAGAGAAAGTAAGAGGGGAGAGATAGATAGAAAGTAAGAGGGGGAGAGATAGAAAGTAAGAGGGGGAGAGATAGAAAGTAAGAGGGGGAGAGATAGAGAGAAAGTAAGAGGGGGAGAGATAGTGGGAGAGAGAGAAAGGTGTAAGAAAGAACGGGAGACGGAGATAGTGGGTGAGGAGGTTAAAAATGTGGAAAAGAGAGAGAAAGAGTGGGGGAGGTAGAGAGAAAGAGTTTTATTTAAATTATTAGTTCCTCTTTATAAGGTTCGTCTTGCCGTCTGCTGGCATCGCCACGGCGTGTGTTGGCCTTGCTTTGACGTCTGTTGGCTTTTCTTGGCGTCTGTTGGTTTTGCCTTGCCTTGGCGTCTGTTGGCCTTGCTTTGCCATCGATTGGCCTTTTCTTGCTGTCGGTTGGCCTTGTCTTGTCGTTTGTATCCCTTGCCTTACCGTCAGTAGGTCTTGCCTTTACTTTGAATTACCTGAATGTTTGAAAATTGCAAACATTTGAAATACTAGGAGAAGGTATGTGGTGTTGTCCCACTAGTTTTTGTATTTCAAACATGGTTTAGTTTTGCAATGTCAACACATTGTAATGATATCGTAGCATACTTATGATAATTGGACACGAGTGACAAATATCTTAGATAAATCTTGATTATCATCATCCCTGACACATCGAGAACAACCATTAAAATACTCTCGTATAGCCCTAAAATAAATTAAATATTTAAACAAAAAGTCTATAAGAATTTTACATTGGCATTGTGTAATATAAATACGGGAAAACATTTCTTAACATGTCAAGAATATCATAGATGTTGCCTTATGATACAGCTCGTAAATCGTAAATTACAGGCGGCCGCTTCATTTAAGTCTTGCTGTAGCAAGGCGACAGATAAGTCGTAAGCAGAGATGCACCAACGATTAAAATTTAGTTGGTAAACGCAGTCTGCGAATAGACAAAATAGCACGATCAGATGGTTCCAATTTTTCAAATTATAGACTGACGTTTCGTTTTTGGATATCTCGTAGTTTCTGGGTATCTAATGATGCGTCTAGTCTACATATTTCTTTCAATTTCTGCATGCAACGACTTACCTCCCTTTCCAACACCTTGTAACACGATCTGGAAAAAACGGACTGATAAAAGAAGGAAACGTCCTTTCAAAGTTTCCAATTAGCTTGCTTTAATATTGTCTGACGTCATCCTATCGTCAAACGAGTTTGTTTGACGTCATTCACGAGCAAACTCGTCATTTCCATTTGAGGTTCGGGTCCAAGGCCTTCGGTTTTTTTGTCTTCGCTCGATTTTAAGGGCTAGTTAACGCCCGTGGTACACATATTATTTTGTTATATTATTTAAATGATTCGGATTTACTTACTTACTAATTAATTAGAGGTCAACTTGAATAGAATTGTAATATTTTGGTTTTTAACATCGTTTAAATATTTCCCTCCCGTAAATCCCTTTCATAATTTTTTTCTCATAACATTCTCCGTAAGGGAACATGTCATTAAACTGTTTTTATATTTTCCTCGCAACTTCAATTCTCTGTATCCACGCAAATTATGTAGCGTTTATTGAGCTCCGAATCGAAGACAATAACAAACAATAATGTATTAGTATATAACTAATGTATAAAATACTCGTACACATGGTACAAAATCGTATCCTCTAATAAAAATCACAGGTCGACAAATGTCCGTCTCCGACCGGGCGTATCTAGGGTTCGAGTTCCGAATGTAGCGAATTTTCGATACTAAATCGAATTCAGCCGATTTCGATTAAATTTCTAGTGACCGGCTGCACTGATCGGTATTTTTTGTGGTTTCTTTAATCAATAGCCGCAAATAGCAGTACTCTAAGAAACGGGACCCACCGCGTATCATATTTCCTTCATCTTCTTTGTCCTATCCTCACCCATTACACACACACTTACACGCATTACACTACCAGACATTGAATTTGCCTTATTTTACGTGGCGAGACTCGGGGCATCAGACCCACTCTTCCGTCTGACCACGCAAATTTCACTACGTTCCTTTCATCAGCTAGCAGAGAAAGGAGGTATTTCTTGGACGAGAAACAGGCGATTTTGAATTTAGCTCAGAGGCGTCACTTAGGCTAGTGGATCTTTTACGAGCAAGTAAATCTACTAACATGGGACAGACGGCTTTACTTCCCCTCCGAAGGAAGGCGTACGAAGGATTTTTCCGAAGGCGTACGAAGAATTTTTTCGCCCTTAAAAATCCACGGCTTCGATCGTGTTTGAATTCGCGAACTTTGGTACAACAGTCCGGTACGCTAACCGTTACGCCATTGCCGCCGCTTACACCATCGCCGCCGCAGACATTTAGAGAAAACAATTAAGAGCTTAGAGCTTGTCCCTGCTGGGGGGTGTCACCCTGGTGGGAGAGAGCTGGTTGAGGGAATTCCCTGCAAGCAGACGTAGAGCGGCGATGGTTCACGACATCCAGCAGGAGAAGATAACCGCCACCTTCCGCGGATAAAATAGGTACTACACTTACGGAACTATTGACCTAAGCGGTTGGTGAGCCAGGAAACAAAATAACCAATCTATTGAAAAGTGCAAACTAATCATATTTGCCTTGCACTTTGGTCTTCTGAAAATGGTGTGTCACAAATAAAGAGCATGTAGAAATGTATGTATGTAGGCCTTACGTTTTTGACATTTTAGGGTCGGATTAATTCGACTTTCCCTAGTTACGGACCAGGCCCGGGTCTTATATTTATTTACTATTCACGCTTGGGTTTAAGGGACTCATGACAAGCATGACGAATTCCCTACACCGTTTCGAGCATACTTGGCCTGACTGAGAATTTTTCTTTCGTCACACAGTTATAGACATTGAAACGATTGTTATGGAAAGCTAAAACTCTATTTTTGCCCCGGCCGGGAATCGAATCCGGGATCGCACCACGGAAAGCTAGAACGCTGGCAGTAAGCCACCTCGAAGGAGATGTAGAAATGCACGCTGGAAATTCTTTGTCCTCCTCCTAAATTAGATGCTCCTTTGATAGTGTGGATAATCAATTGAATCGTTTATTTTAGAAACCCGTCAAACCCCAAAATCTAAAACACGCTTTAGCGACGGATTATTGTTCCAGGAGAACAGACACATCGTATAGGCCATATTGATGTGAAAAATATTCATTTATCAACGCCTTTAATAAAGAAATATTTTGAAATCGTAAAAATTGGGAGTCATATTCTCAGTTTTCTCGAAATGAGGAATTTGGCGTTTGACGGGTTTCTGAAATACACGATTCAATTTCCCTAGCGATGGAAAGAGTATAAATATATCTTCCGGTAAATTTTGGGTTATTTCCTTTTGAATGCAGCGGTATGTTTGTTACGTATGTTGTGTCTTGCTGAATATTGTAGAGCATTTTCACGATATACATTTTAAAAATACTTTCAATACACTTATTGGTTCCATCCAGGCAGAGAACTTCTGCCTTTCTTTGGGTGAATTTCATAACCATATAGTACAAATTCCTGTGGCCAAATGGCTGGTTGTGTTATGAGTGTACAAAGAAATTTATTTTTGATTGTATGATTTTTTGTAGAAAATTTTATTGTTCACTCTAGGAATACTAAGGTACTTTCTGCCCTCAGAAATACCAAAGGTTTGAAAGAAAGGGGAGTTTAACTAGTTGCATTTTAATGAAAGAATGCTACTATTTTAAATGGTTTTAATTGTTGGAGATTTAATTCAAAATACTTAGTAAATTTTATCATCCTTTGACTTCACTTCATACCGTAAAGATACAATATTTCACTCCAGTGATTCATCATTTTCATGAAGCCCCTGGAACATTTTCAAGATTTCCAAAAAAATGTTTGAAAGTTTTTTATTAAATTGTGAATTCGAATAGCATAAAAGAAATGATTAAGAATGTAATACTATAATAGTAATCTTAATAATGTGTGTAAAATTAGTTTATTTTTGTTCAATAGAATTAGCTCTAAGCTTTGAAGGATTTGCCAAACTTACACTTTCATTTGAAAGTTTTTGCCTACAAATCAGTCGGTAAACTATTACCTGCTCCGTTTCCGCGGTTATCTTGTTCCGTATTCTAGAACCACCGATTAATTTTGTTAAATACCATTTTCAAGGTTTCGCCATTCTTACAATCACTTGAAAACGCTACTCTTTGGGTATTTAAATCCGAACGTCACGTAAAATATTTAGACCTAATTTCAGGCAACCATTTCTTACGAACTCGACCCTCTCTCAAATAAATTCGCTACCATATCAACTGACGCGGCTTTCCTCAATTGTTTCTTTCTTACGAGTTCATATACTCGTACCAAGGTGTACATGTTGATATCGTGACAAGTACCGAGGGAAGTGACTCAGGGCGTAGCGCACTGACAGCGCATTCGGGAGTCCGGGTTGAATCCTCGCGCTGGCCATCCTGGTCGGGGATTTTGTGGTTTCCTTGGTTCATCCAGGCGAAAACTGAAATAACACGGTCGCGAATCCGACGTCGCTAGCCCAATTCGTTAACCACTTGAGGTGACGAATTTGAGACATCGCGTGTTTCTGGTTGGGTGACCGACTGGGAACCCGGTAATGTAACAGCGCCGAGACCAATTGTCGCTTACGGAACATACGATTGCTAAATACAACTCGCAACAAGTTCCTAATACGATTTTTTCTAAGACTATTGAATGATACACATATTTCTGCTGTATATTCAAACGACGAATGACATCGATTACACAGCAAGTGGTTTCCAGTTCGGAACCCACTGTCTGTCGATCAATAACTTTCAAACAATTTTCGAAATCTACGGGCAGAATTGCATTCTCTTTGCAATTCGCAATTCTTTTAAACCTCCGTAGAAAAGTGAATGATTTCGCAGTTTCATTTAGATAACCTAAAACATTGTTGTATTCACATTTTTCGTTACATTTCTAATTGTTTATTCAACAGACAATGAATCTTGATGTTAGCGACAGTGACAATGAAATTTGTACTTCACTTGAAAGTTTCGAAATAGCGAATTCGACAATTCTACAATTATTGCCAGAAAAATCAAGGAAGTATTATTACAAATCAATTACGACATTTATGAAGTGGCGAAAGTAATAAGGTGAATTCTTTCAGTGAGAACATTTTTTGGCTTACTTTGTAAATCTTTCCGAACAGTATAAACTCTATTGTTTATGGAAGATTTTCTCATTGTTAACAAGCGCATTTACATACTACACTGTTTAATGTAGGTAAACCTTATACTTGAGTTTCACATAAAACAAAATCTGTTCAAAATCTATTCTGAATATTACAGGCTCGTAGAGAAAGTATAGTCTCCTATGGCTACTATTCTCTCGTACATTCCGTACAATGGCTACTATTCTCTCGTACATTCCGACTCTCGTTCGTACGTCGCTAGTGCTGTAAATGTCAACCAATGAATAACAGCCATCGTTACGCACTCATTGAAGAATATACCATTACTACATGCGTGTGCCTGTGGGTCTTTTGATTTTCCCCTCTTCAGTTGCCCTGGAGAGGCGGAAATTTATTCGACTTTCGGGAATACAATAAAAATTTTTAACTGCAGCCGATTCGGGTTTTGCAGTTAGAAAGGGCTTTCTAAACTAAAACTGTCTTTCAACTATATACATTCGCACTTAGGGGTTTGTGTGTGTGTGTGTTTGTGTGTGTGTGTGTGTTTGTGTGTGTTTGTGTGTGTGTGTGTGTGTGGAAACTTGTAACTATCTTGCAACTACGTACATTCGCACTTTGGAGTTGGTGTGTGTGGGTGTGTATGAAATACAATAATTTTTTAACTACAGCCGAATAGGCTCTTGCCGTTAGGGAGGGCTTTCTACTAACAGACTAACTAAAACTATCTTGTACCTACTATTCATTCGCACTGTGGGGTTCGTGTGTGTGTGTGTGTAGGTGACGGCGGTGGTGATGTGGGCGCGGCTGCTGCTGGCGGCGGAGGAGGGGCGGCGCGGGGAGCTGGCGGGCGCGCACGACCCCTTCGCAGCCGCGCATCTGCCCCCGCGCTGGCAGGTGCAGGCGTTCATGGCGTGGCTCTTCCTGCTGCAGACGCCCGTGCCCGCGCTGCTGCTCTGCGCCGCGCACAAGGTCGCTCACGCGGGAATGGATAAACGCGAAAGATGTGTACACGTACAGATATATACACGTACAGATGTGTACACGTACAGATGTGTACACGTACAATTGTGCACGTGTTCAAATGTGCACGTGTTCAAATGTGCACGTGTTCAAATGTGCACGTTGTCTCAAATGTGCACGTGTTCAAATGTGCACGTGTTTCAAATGTGGCACGTGTTCAATGTGCACGTGTTCAAATGTGCCACGTGTTCAAAATGTGCACGTGTTCAAATGTGGACGTGTTCAAGTGCACTTGTTCAATGTGCCACGTGTTCAAATGTGCACGTGTCAAATGTGCACGTGTTCAAATGTGCACGTGTTGTTCAAATGTGCACGTGTTCAAATGTTGCCACGTGTCAAAATGTGCACGTGTTCAAAATGCTGCACGTGTTCAAATGCTGCACGTGTTCAAATGTGCACGTGTTCAAATGTGCAGTGTTCAAATGTGCACGTGTTCAAATGTGCCACGTGTTCAATGTGCACGTGTTCAAATGGTGCACGTGTTCAAAATGGGCACGTGTTCAAATGGCACGTGTTCAAATGGGCACGTTGTCAAATGGGCACGTGTTCAAAAATGGGCACGTGATCAAAATGGGGCTACGTGTTCAAATGGGCACGTGTTCAAATGGGCACGTGTTTCAATGGCACGTGGTTCAAATGGGCACGTGTTCAAATGGAGCACGTGTCAATATGGGCACGTGTTCAAAATGCGGCACGTGTTCCAAATGGGCACGGTTCAAATGGGCACGTGTTCAAATGGGCACGTGTTCAAATGGTGCACGTGTTCAAATGGGCACGTTTCAATGGGCACGTGTTCAAATGGGGCACGTGTTCAAATGGGCACGTGTTCAATGGGCACGTGTTCAATATGGGCCACGTGTTCAAATGGGCACGTGTTCAAACTGGGCACGTGGTTCAATATGGGCACGTGTTCAAATAGGGGCACGTGTTCACATGGGCACGTGTTCAACATGGGCACGTGCTTCACATGGGCACTGTCACAGGGCACGTGTTAATGGCACGTGTTCACATGCGCACGTGGTCACATGCCGCACGTGGTCACATGCCACGTGGTCACATGCGCACTCATGTGGTCAACTTGGCACCGTGGTCACAGCGCCACGTGGTCACATGCGCACGTGGTCACATGCGCACGTGGTCACCCATGCGCACGTTGGTCACATGCGCCGTAGGTCACATGCGCACGTGGACATGCGCACGTGGTCCCACATGCGCACGTGGTCACATGCGCACGTGGTCACATGCGGCAACGTGGTCACATGCGCACGTGGCACATGCGCACGTGCGTCACATTGGCACGTGCGTCACACATGCGCACCGTGTGTCACATGCGACGTGGGTCACATGCGCACTGTGGTCACATGCGCACGTGGTCACATGCGCACGTGGTCACATGCGCACGTGGTCACATGCGCACCTGGTCACATGCGCACCTGGTCACATGCGCACGTGGTCACATGCGCACCTGGTCACATGCGCACCTGGTCACATGCGCATACGTAGAAATGTGCACACATACATCTAAGAATTTGTATACGTACAAATGTGCACGTGCACAAATGGGCACACGTACAAGTGTACACATGTCAAAATTTACCATCGTTCAGATATCTAGGTAAACAAATGCACAATAGCATAAATGAGTAAATATGTAAATACAAAACTGTCAATACAAAAAGATTAATAAATATCGTTCATTAATCTTATAAGCTTACATGAAACGTGAACCTGAACTTTAGCAATAATACTTTCGCCACCTAGAATGTTAAAAATTATCTAACTCGCTCGTAATGATCTCTTTTAACTACTTGAAGGGTAAATTACAATTACGAGTGCCAAGAATAAGCGATTATATTTATAATGAAAGTAGATAGAGAGAGGGGAGGTATTCTAAATAAAATAGTAACTCAATTTACTTGCAAATGTTTGTTTAGCATTGCGATTAGCAACTGCTACAATTTTAGATTCACCAAAGTGAACCAACACTCCACTCCTGTCACACATCCAAATGGTCCCAGAAATGCTTCTAAAATTCTACGCTCTTGAGTTAATAGACATGTTAAAACCAATACATACTTTCAATTCACTTGTATTATATGAAAATTCACTTGAAAAGAAGTTCGCAAACTGTACCTGAAACGTGTGATATTTTTATACAAATAAGCCAATAAATACAAATATCATCTAACAATATGTTGTCTATTAATCCCGTTAGGGCTCTACGATTTTTTTCTATATCAAGACTGTATGTACATTGTGATTATGGAGTTCGTTGTGTTTGTGCTCCTTCAATGTCTGTGTGTTGCAGGAACGGTTACGATCGGCCGAGCTGTGGCTGAAGTTGTCCGTGATGTTGCCGTTGCTGCTGATGGCCGACCTGATAGTGACGGTGAGCGGGTGCGTGGCCGACCACAAATTCAGCCCGGCAGAGGGCGTCTTTGTCCTGCTGCTCGGGGCCAACCTGGGTGAGTGAAGAGGTTCCGTGGCCCGTGCTTTGCAGGAGGCGTTGCGAGGCAACTCTATTATCATTCCCATCACTTCAGATCACAGGACGCTTACAACACCATTTTGTCATTTGACTTGCCGCCTCTTCACTTGATTTGCTGCCTCTTCACATCTCTTGCTATGACTTCACTTCGCGCCTCTTGTTTATCAGCCACCTCTTCACTTACTTCGCTACCTCTTCACTTATTTTGCCACCTCTTCACTTGCTCTCTCACTTCTTCACTTGACTTGCCACCTCTTCACTTGACTTGCCACCTCTTCACTTGACTTGCCACCTCTTCACTTGACATGCCACTTCTTCACTTGACTTGTCACCTCTTCACTTGACTTGTCACCTCTTCACTTGACTTTTCACTTCTTCACTTCACTTGACTTTTCACTTCTTCACTTCACTTGACTTTTCACTTCTTCACTTCAGTTGACTTTTCACTTCTTCATTTCACTTGACTTTTCACTTCTTCACTTCTTCAGTTGACTTTTCACTTCTTCACTTCTTCAGTTGACTTTTCACTTCTTCACTTCTTCACTTTTGACTACACACACTTGTTTTGAAAGTACTATATTTGGCATGCCAACACTTCACTTGACAGCACTTCACTTGTCATGTCAGCACTATACTCCACTTGATTTAACAGCATTTCATGTGACGACACTCTACTTTCCGTGACTTGGCAGCACTTCACTTCAAGTACCTTGACAACAGAATTCCATACGTGACTTCACTTCACGTGTATTTATAGCAATATTTCTTACTTGAACAGCACTTCACATCACGTGCATTTATAGAACTAAACCTTACTTGACCTGACAGTTCTTCACGTGCTTTTATAGCAATATTTCTTACTCGACCTGACACCACTTCACTTCATGTGCCTTGCCAGCACCCTCCTTGCCTCGTCTGTCCCGTTGGCTTGCCAGCACCTTACTCGCCTCGTCTGTCCCGTTGGCTTGCCAGCACCCTGTCACGTTGGTTGCAGCGCACCTTACTTGCCTCGTCTGTCCCGTTGGCTTGCAAGCACCTTACTCGCCTTGTCCTGTTCCCGTTGCTTTGCAAGCACCTTACTCGCCTATGTCTGTCCGTGGCTTTGCCAGCACCTTTACTTGCCTCGTCTGTTCCCGTTGGCTTGCCAAGCACCTTACTTGGCCTTCGTCCTGTCCCGTTGGCTTGCCAGACCACCCTACTCGCTTCGTCCTGTCCCGTTGCGCGTTGCAGCACGCCTACTCTCTTCGTCTTGTCCCGTTGGCTTGCCAGCACCATACTTGCCTCGTCTGTCCCTTGGGCTGCCAGCACCTTACTCACTCGTCCCTCCGTTACCTTGCCAGCCAACTATTGCCTTGTCTGTGCTATTGGCTTCCAGCACCCTTCTTGCCTGGTCTGTCTTGTCTTAGCCCGTCCGCCATCCATCTCATCCAGCCCTCGCCCCGTGTCTGTGTGGTGCCGGCAGGGCGCGCGCAAGCTGTCGCGCTGCTTCGACGCGTTCTGCCGGTCGCTGCTGCGCCAGCGCGCTCGCTCACGGTGCCGCCTGCGCCCGCTGTTCACGCCCGGACGCGCGGCCAGCCGGGCGCTCTACCGCGCCCATACTCGCCCACGCCGCGCCGCCCCGCGCCACCACGCCGCCCACGCCCGCAGCCCACGCCGCCGCGCACGCCTCCGGCTCGGCCACCGCCTCCGCCGACTCCCTCACGCCCGTCCTCTCGGCGGCCGCCAGGCCGTCAGCCTCGCCACGCAGGGTACCCTACCCCAAAAGAACGCGGTTTTGTAATGTATTAAGCGACTAGTTGTATAACATTATGAGTACGCATGTTTCGATTACGAGCGGTGTTTAGAGCGAGTATTCGTGGTGCGCACGCCGGGCAGGTGCAACGGCTGTGGCGGGCAGTGGCAACGACGGGTAGGAGGACGGGCAAGGGATGACAGGACAGAGAGGAAAGGGCGAGGTGACGGGCGGGTGGACGGGCGGGGTGACGGGCGGAGCGTGGACGGGTGGCGGTGGACGGCGCGCGGTGGACGGGCGGGTGGTACGGGCGGGGATGACGGGCGGGGTTGGACGGGCGGCGTGGACGGCTTACGGGCTGCGGTCGGAGCGACGGGCGGGCGAGGACGCGGCGGAGGAGGACGGCTGGCAGGACGGGCGGCGAGGAGCGAACGGACGACCGATTCAGAGAGGGCGGGGATGAGGATAGGCAGGAAGGCTGGAAGAGAGGGTGGGAGCGAGGACGCGGAAGTCGAG